TTTAAATTCTACATTTTCGCAATTTCTATTTCCAGGTCCTTTTATTTTGAACGTTTGTCAAATTATTTTTCTGTGATGTTTTTATCAGACGGAATGACCATGTCTTTGATATAACACTTACGTTTATTGAGTCTTTATCCTTATCTAGCCTATTGACTTGCATAATGCGGTCAGCATGTATGGTGAAATTCCAGAGTACTGTAGCATTTTCGTATTCTAACACTTTTTACATTGGCATATTTTCCAATACAGTTACTTTCTTAACCTATCATGCTAGAGCACTCAGATATTAGATGAGCAATAGTTTACAGAGCATTCTACAAACGTGATCTTTTGGTTCTGTCCCATTCATTAAAATATGTACCTGGTAGGATTTTTTGGGTGGTGACTAATATGAAATATACCTTAAACATGGAAAGTGAAAAAAAAAAACAATATAGCTGTGTAGACTGATCAGTTTGAAATTCCAACAAGGTTACTGAGTACAACAGAGACATGAAGACGGTTCAACAGTTTAAACATTGTGAATATATCAACACTATGATGAAACATGAAGTCGTCTCTTTCAAAATGCACAAATAGAAACGTAAAACGATCTGAGACATGGATTAAATTGGTTACTTTATTTTAATTGTAATCTTATTCAATTTCTGTTCATTAGGAACATGAATATAGTAACATTTTGCAGTTATTAAAAGTAACTTTTGCATTTTCAAAATCATCTGTTACTGAATTTGTAGATATTAACTCTTAAAATGAAAAATTCGCAAAATACCTGATTATGGTCTAATGAGGTTTATGAATTTAAAGCAAGAAATACAGAAATATCAGTATTAATTCAGTTTTTACAAATAATTTAAACAAAATCATTAAAATTTTATAGTTTTTATTAGAATATTTGAAAGTGTTCCACAAAGATAAGTTAGTAACTTCTGATCATTACCCTTGCCGTAGCTAACAAATTTAAGAAACTATTCATTTGTATTTTTGAAAAGTGTTCCCACAAATAAAATCCTAGCATACAAATTATTGATCTTTTCATGTTTTATATTTTAGCTTAATCAGAAGTACACCTGAAAATTTTCCTGCCAAAAATGTCCTGGCAACCTGATCATTAAACTTACTTAGATGTATACCATTACATAACTTTTAATTGTACCTCTGAAAGTATTCCCTCCAAAATAGTTCATAGTAATCTGATTATTAATCTTGCCTAGACTTTTACTATTACATCACTATTCAGTTGTTCTTCCAAATCAATTCTTAGTAAGCTGATCATTAACATTGTCAAATGTTTAATCTTTTTTTCAAGCAAGGCAATAAAAACAACTAGTATGTAAGGGGGTTACTGAGTGAAAGAAACAAAGAGGACAATAAAAGAACAGGTTTCAATGAGCCAATGTCAATTAACATTATATTTATACTTTTGAAGATCGTAGTTGACAGGAAAGCAGGAAGCCGGAAGAGAGTTCCGCAAGCGAGAAGTGAAAGAACAACTAGCAATTTTAGCAGTGAAATTATGAGACCTAGCTGCCAATCTAGTACTGGACTTAAATTCGTGAAGTCGATGTACCAACGTAGGAAACTCACCAGAACAATTACTGTGAAAATATTTATAGAAGTTGCAAAGGGAAACTACGTTACGGCAGTGGAAAAATGACTGAAGTAGAGCTGCTAGGTCAGGTCTGAAAACGTTAGTGATTCTTCTTTAGATTTTTTCAATAATTTCAGAAGTGCCACGTCAGTTGTGGAAGCAATATTCGATGTACGGACGAATGGTAGACTCATAAATGAGCAAGATATATTCTGACGAGACAGTGAACCAAATTTTCTAGCAGCAAACTTAGCAATTGATTCAGTATAATCTTTCCACGCCATGTTAATGGAAATCGTTAGTCCAAAAAGTCGCAGTGAGTTGTCCCTTGAAGTTTAGCATGAGCCAATGCTGATGGAAGGCAAAAAAAGGTTCTTGAAGATAAATGATAGAGAGTACTTTCGTTTTAGAGATGTTAAAATTAAAAAGTACTTACAATTGATTGAAGTGAGGAGGGATTGTGGATTTACTTTTGTTTAACAGACTCTTACAATGTCGGCAGTAATCACAAGCACCAAACTTGTGAGAGGCTATACGATGTCTTTACTCTATCAGTAAACAACTACTTGGCCTTTTTGAGGACACGTTTGCATTTATTACGAACAGATACAGAGTGACGCATGTTGCGATCATATCTCTCATCTTGGTATACAGGGAAAAAGTGATTCCTGTGGCTATAGCGACTGAGCTAGCAGGTGAGAACCAAGGAGAAGATTGTGATTTTATCTTGTATTTACGACAAGGACAAAAAACTTATATGCCCGATTTCACCCAAGAATACACAACAAAGGCACAATTTTCGCTATGAATACTAAAGATTAGCGGAAGAAAAAAAAACAAAACAAAAAAAAAACAGGACACTACCATTACCTGTCTATTCAGATGTACACCTGAAAGTAGTCCCTCCAAGATATGTCCTAGCAACCTGACACTTAAGTTTCCCTAGACTTATATGACCTGATGTCTATTTAGTTGTATGTCTGAACGTATTTCTAGCAAAATAGTTCCTAGCAACGTGATTAATAATCTTGTCTAAATTTGTTATTGTCCTTCTATTTAGGTGTACGTCTGAAAGTATTGCTTCCAAATCAAGTATTAGCAACCTGATCATTAATCTTGTTTAGGTATTCTCTTGAAAAAAGGTCCGAGAAACCTGATAATTTAACTTGGCTAGACCTATAATATTACTTCTCTATTCCGCTGTACATTTGAAAGTATTCCTCCAAAACATTTGTTAGCAATGTGATCATTAATCTTGCTTATACCATTACCTTTGTATTCAGTTGTAAATATGAAAGTATTCCCTCAACATCAACTTGTTACAACATGAACATTAACCTTTCCAAGATGTGCCTCATTACCTGTCTATTCACTTGTACACGTGAATGCATTTCCTCTCAAACAAGTCTGAAAAAAAAAACTGATTATTAGCCTTTCCAAGATATAGACCTGTCTATTTAGGTGTATATCAGAAAATTGTCGCTGCAAAAAAAGTCCTAACAACATTTTCATTAACTTTGCCTGGGCTTATAATGTCTATTCAGCAAAGTGTTAAATTGTTAAATAATAAATATTGCATTGTAGTTGGTTCCCATATTTTTATAATCTTGTAAATATAAAATTAATCTTGTAAATAAACAATCTAACAACTAAATAGTGTGCAATATTTTTGTGGTTATTAAAAATGTAAACATGGCTTTTTAAAGCAAACAATGCAGAGGGAGTCGAACTAGTATACAGTAACAGCGGGTGTCAAGAGGAAAAAAATCGTCATTTTGAATTTTTTCCGTTTTTGAAGATAAAACTTTACCTTTTGCTATTATCTCTTTATCCTGTTGTATGTCTGAAATTATTCGCTTCAAAAATAAGTTCTAGCAAAAACAGATAATTAATCTTTGCGTATTTTATGATATTCCTCTCTATCCAGTTGTAAAACTGAAACTGTTATCTCTAAATCAATTCAAGAACGTGATCATGAACTTTACCTCGATTTATATTCTTACATGTTATTCACTTGTACGTTTGAAAGTATTCCCTCCAAAACAGGTGCTATCAACATGATCCTTAATCTTACTTAAATATAATATCACCTGTATATTCAATAGTACATCTGAAAGTATTCCCTCTAAAACATGTCCTACCAACCTGATCATTAAACTTGCCAAGATTTATATCACCTATTCAGTTGTACGTCTGAAGGTGTTCCCGGAATTTGAACTCTAATGTACAACGTATTAACCTTTCTTAACTTTTTCTTACGAATTTAGCCATCGTTACATTACAAAGTGTCCCTCTAGGGCACTTAGTAATGTGACAATGGATAAATCCGAATGTCCTATTTATTAAACTTTTCTAAGTTTAAATTTTTATGAAAACAATTATCTGCACATAGGAAATGTAATATTCCCCGAATAATCGTTTTAACGTCCTGCGAATTAACTTTATACACTAACCAAATTATACGTATATCTGAATGGGTTACTCAAAGAGAAGTCATGACAATTTGATCATATAAGTTGCCTACTCTTATATTCTAACAAAGTTAACTATCTCTACACAGAAATTGTTTCACCAAAATAACTCTTAATAATGATTAATCTTGCTTTGGGTTATATACTACATGAACCTAATTATATCTACTTGTGGAATTGATATTCAAAGACAATGCCTAATATCATGGTCATTAGACTTGCTCAGGTAATATATCCTTATGAATATATTCATTTATATGAAAGCAATAACGACGTCATAATAAACATTGCCGAGGATTATATTATGACAAACCTAATTATTTCTTCATTTGAAAATATACATTTTCTCTAAAATACGTTCGAAAAAATTGATCATTAGCGTTTCCAGTGCTTATATCCTTAAAAGCCTAATCCTTTGTAGCCCTGAAAATGTTTCCCAAATATAAGTCCTAACCTACGGATCATTCAGTTTAACTAGACTTATATCCTTCCAAACCATCTGTGAAAAAATTTCTCAGATTTGTTGACTCTCTATTCGACAGTCATATCTCGTGCCTTCCTCATTCAGTATGCCAACTGATTGGTAAAAGCACTTTATTTTTAAGACGTTTTTATTTTTATGTGTTTTTATTAAAGTATCCTTATATTATGATTTACTTTGTTATTTCAAAATTTTCTTTAAATTTTAATTGTGGGGCATTGGTCAATGAAGGTTCAAGAATTACCGAAGGGACCAACAATGTGTCGATTTCATCCCAACAATGAATCAGATAGAATTAAAGGAACAATCATTAAAAGAATTCTTTTATTTTAGTCTAAATTTCGTTCCCTAATATTCAAACAGAATAAACTATTCAAATAATTTTTTAAAATCCAAATTTTCTGGAGAATATACGAGTGTAAAATTTTATTCTCTGAGAAGTTGGAAATGCAACCTCGGAAAAGTTAATATAGAGAATGGGAAAAGAAAAGAGAGAAAAGGGAAAGGAGAGAGGAAGGGAGAGAGAGGGAAGAGAGAGAGAGAGAGAGAAAGAGAGAGAGAGAGAGATGGAAGGGAGGGGAAATAAGAAAGGAGGATACGAAATGGCAGTGACAGGATATCTAGTTTTCCTCATATATTTTATTTCTCGTACGTGGTATGCGTTTTTGTTTTTCGAAATAAACTTATTTTTTCTCTTTAGTTTCTTCTGTTCTTTCCTTAGTTCTTAGCTCTGCGTTAGTAAATATCTTTCATGCGAAAAGGGATTTACAAATAATTATCAGCGAAAGGGAAGAATAAGAATTATTGTAAAGTTTGAATTTAACATTCGCTTATCAAAAAATCATTTGGATTAGAAGAAAGTAAAGAAGTCTGTAGATCTTCCTAAAGTAACAAATTATTTCTTTCCAATATTTTCAAGTCGTCAAAAGTTTTAGGATCATAGATTAATTTAAAAATGTTAAACGTAGGGATTTTTTGATGATATAATTTATTAAAAATATTTAGAAAAAGAAAGGAATTTATTTTAAGTAAAATACAATTTTTAACTCATTTTATTCAATATTTGTTTTATAAAAGTTTATTCAAGAATATTACAAAACTTACTGACAGAACAACTCAATAATAAAATAGAATAACAGAAATATTTAATTTACATTTCATTGATACATTTGTTCGCTTTTGCGTTTTTCTCGAATTTATAGATTGTTTTTATGAGCATGTATGAATATGTAAAATATTATTTAATAATATATTAGTTTTTGGATAAACAAAGACAATGGCAAAATTTCAGCCTCGCCAAGAATCAATGTCACTTCAAAATATTTTCCAGTGAAAGAAGATGACATTTTCATTATTTCTTCCTATATAATCATTTTATTTAAAAAAGCATGATTATTAGAGAGATAGACACGGACAGATTGACATGAATAGATAGATAGATAGATAGATAGATAGATAGATAGATACTGAAATGCAGAGAAAAAGAAATAATTCTGTAGTCAGTCTTTTAACTTCATTTACCAAGGAATTTTACAAGCAGATTTTTTGTCGAATCTGGTACATTCAACTTTAAAAGCTCAGAATTGATGGTTGAGAATTACGTAATGCTTTTGTAAAACAAACTAACAAAAATGATATCGATATAATATTTTAAATATTCATACATGCTCATAAAAACAATCTTTTTTGTTTTGATCTCTTCAAAGCAAAATAGGGTCGATATGCGTTCGATAGTTTTCAAATAGCTGTAGCATCTACAAAGTCTCTTTTCATTTTTTCATCTCTCCTCTCTCCCTCTCTTACTCACTCACACTCTTTCTCTCTTGATAATATCTTCTTATTGAAAAAATAGCATCAGGAACGGGAATGCAACAAGTGACAATATATTCGGTAAAATGAGTTTATATGATCAATTTAAATATTAATCAGGTGAGTTGATTTATTTTGAATAAAATCCAAGTTTAAAGTCATATAACCAAATATAAAGCAAAAATGATTACATTTTACTGACACTATTGCAAATCATTTTAACGTAATGTAATGCATAACGTTTCTTAAAAACCGAATATTTTAATATTAGAAAAAAAAATCTGTTATTTTCTCGATCTTTGATAAACAGGTCATTCCTTCACATGACTGTTGGGGGGTTCAATTCCTTAAGAAAATGGGCATTGACTGTAGATTATAAGAGTTAAGCTAATATCTGTATGTTTCGTTTGTGTGAAGGCAGTGTAGGGGTGAGGGTGATTTCTCAGATCATATTTAAATATTTCAATTGAAATATTGTCGGATGTTTTGTATATTTGAAAAAATAAATTAATAATAATTTAATGTAGGTTTATCAAGTGAGAAATTGGGATTTTATCAAAAGTATTTTTAAAATTGAAATTAGCTTCAAGCATCTATGGATATTATCGAAATATTATCTGAATACTTTTATCCCATATTGCTGTAAGAAACATATGATCTTTGAAGATAATAATCATGCAAAACAAGTATCAATAAATGAAAACAATTATAAATTAAGACGCCGCATCCTCAAATGGATATATAAAAAAAACACGACACTGTTCGCCTACGTCACAACGCACTAATTGCCTCTACCTACCCTGATGATGACTCAAGAATGCCGAAAGCTTGAACCATATTTCTTGTACTTTTCTTCTGAAATGAACTTCGGATAATTTCTGTCGGAATTTCCTTCTTTGTAGAGAAGTATCCGTAATTTTTAAAAGTCAAAATTAATATATATATATATATATATATATATATATATATGATTGTGTGTGTGTCTGTATGCATATATGTATGTATTTACATACGCTCTGTTATATTGAGCACTTTTACCCATAAATATATCATACTTTAAAACAATATTTTTATCTTTAACACTTATTTATCTATAAGTTTTATAACAAATGGATATGAGAGGAAAACGTATAGCATGAGGCTTTATTTAAAATTCGATATGAGCACCAGATTTCGCTACCAGCTTCTCGAGGCGCCCAGGAATCGCGTCAACTGATTTCACCAGGAATTCTTGTGGCATGGAAGACATAACTTCACTTCTTTCAAAGTCTTGGTTTGGTATAGCAGACTTGCTCCTTTAAACAACTCCAAAGAAAAAAAGTCAGGACTCCTGGCTGATCTCACATATATAAAATAGGGAGGTTTTATCCACCTGTATATATATATGGATATATATATATATATATATATATATATATATATATATATATATATATATATATATATATATATATATATATATATATATATATATACTATGTCTCTAAACGTTTTATATATATATATATATATATATATAGGTACCCACTAAAAAGTATTAGCTAAGGTTTAAAATGCATTTTACAAATGAAAAATCTTTCTTGAAGCTTTCATTTTAGTTTTAATTCCAAACGAAAAGATTCATTTTAATATTTCCAATAAGTAAAATACTTTGCTGTATTTCAAACAAGATTGAAATGATTTGCTGTATTTCAAAATTGGTTGAAATGATTTTTTCTAATTAGGAATAAAATCGATGAACTCATTCATATTGACAAATCTATCAACATAACAAAACTATTTTTATTAAAAAATCTTCAAAAGTAAAATATACTTTTCTTAAAAGTTCTTTGAGAAAAAATAACCGATTTAAAGATTAATTATTATAAATAATGAATTAAGACAAATATTAAGCTGTTTTAACATTGGAGGTGGGTGGTTTTATGAGATGTTGACAGTCTGATGTATGTATGTTTATCTAAGGAGGAGATAATCGCAATAAAATTACCGTATACAACGTAAACGCTTGTTATACATACATACATACATACATACATATATATATATATATATATATATATATATATATATATATATATATATATATATATAAAAAACTACAGTAATCTTTGATATTTTAAATATTTTAAGCATTCTAATATTTTATTGCATTTTAGGTACTTTGGCATTACAGTCTTATTTAAGACGTTTGTTGAGAAATTGTTAGAAAATTACTAATAAATTTTAAATTTACTATAATCACTGCTCTTATTTTCTGATAATGTCGTGCATGGACATCCGTATTTACAAAGATTTTATACAAGCACAAATATTGAAAATTCTTTTTAAAATATTGGGGTTACTAAATTGTAGTTAGCTTTTTCATTTATGATTAATACAGTTTTTATTTAATAAAAATATTGATAAATAATTAAAATCGATTTAAATGTTTATAAATTATTCTGATTAAAAATGAAAACAATTTCTATAAAAAATTATTATTTATCCCAAAATATTTCTTAAGACAATAATGTCAATAATATATTTTATTCATAAAAGCAATTAAATATTTTTCTAATTAAATAATATCTTAGCCATATTGGATTTTTCATTTTTACGATTCCGAGCAGATTTTCTGTAACTGGGTGTCCTGTTTGAATAAAAAAAAATGTTTAAATAATCTGGTAACTTGTCTATATAACTAAAATATAAACATTAAAAAGAATTTCTTGAAATTTCACAAAATTAAATAACTGGAAGTAACATGTTAAAAAAACAAATTACCAACATTTTCTAAAAAAGAAACATTTAAAAAATAATTTCATTTAAATGCGACAATTATCTGATTTTTGAAAGAATTTCCAAATCAATGTTTTTAACCGCTAAAAGACGCTCAAATTTCCCATACAAATTTATGGTCCCACGTTGACCAAAATAGTCGAATAGTTGCGCGCGCACGCACGCGCACACACACACACGCGCACGCACACACACGCGCGTTAAATTCCAATTCAAATTAAAAAAAACCACGCCTGTTTGTATTTTGCATTATTTGCAGAAAAAAAAGAGAATGCCAGTTATTAAACGCAACGCTTTTCATTTTACTCGATGAGCTTTTAAAAATGAATGCAAAGATGTCCAGCCATCGGACTTGTATGAATAAAGAAATCGTTCGAGTCTGTCTTGGAGATTTCTTTTCTTTTTCTTCGTGTAGAAAATAAAAATATCTGACCCAAAAGAATTGCTTCAACAGTCAAAGATATATTCGTAGCAATATCTAATCAATAAACTGATTCTCCAGCCACATTTAGAAGCAGGGAATAAAGGTCTATGAATGAAGCAAATAAGACAATTCTTTATCGCACACACAGGCGTGCACACACGCGTACACACAGGCATGAGCATTAGAGTTCACTCACACACATATTCTCATGGACATACGTACGCACGCAAATGGGCGCGCTCTAACACTCATACTACCGCACAAGGAGGAACGTGTAGAGTACGACGCATGAATACTTAAAAAGTAAATAAATGAAAGACTGGGTGTGCACGTAGTTGTCAATCAACCTGCCAATCAAAGTGTGGTAACGAGAAGTAGGAGGAGTCTGCGACTTTGAAATTATTATTTCTAAAAAATTCGTTTCCCTCCTCCTACATTGCACATCTCACTCTTCCTACGTTTATCAATCGATCTTTGTTTATATCCACGCGTGATGTTTGTGTGTTTTGAACAATAAAAAAAAATTAAAAAAATAAAGAGTAAAAAAGTATGAGAAGACTTTAGAAAGAACTGGAAAGCCAATCCTAAGTAAGAAAGAGTAAAGCCTCTACTCCTGTTCAAAA